AAGAAATATTGATAATTGAATTTGATGTGGTGGTATATCATATTCATCCACTTCTGCGATTGGTCAAATCAACCCGTCGAAAAACAGAATAATTTGAATCTAATAATTCACAATCTAATCAAAGATATTTATAAGGAATAAGACCTAAATATTTTATTTCCTAATTTAATAGCAGCAAGGTCTTAACATAAAATATTACATCAAATGTTATTCTTTCATATTAAGAAAGGAATGTTAAAATCAATTATCAACTATTTTCTTTAAAAATTGAATAAATTATCTCATAGCACAAATCAATTTGTATACTATAATTTTAGATCTTCTGATTTGCATTTAAAAGATATAAGATGAACATAATAACAAAAGTACAAGGTTTCCAAGATAAATCTTATGAGTGTGAAATCTGAATAATTTCAATGTTTTACTGTCTCGATTAACTTCTCAGTTCAGTTTTCCATAAAATTCAAAAGCATTCAAGCTAGAATCTAAAAACTATTTAGAAGCAGATTCTTAAAGAAGATATTTTGGCAGGTTGAATTTCTAGCATAATTTCATTCTAGTTAATCTAATTTAAATAATGTGAAAATGTTTAAATAGATTGTCATTGCTACTATCTGAAAACATGGAAGTTTAGGTTTTCTTCATAAAACTATTTTTTTATTTTCAAGCAACCTTGATTTTGGATAATATTATTTTAAGTTGAATTGTGATAAAAACAATAGCAATATATTAAATATTAATTTGAATAGAAAAAGAAAAATGCAGATGAGATGTAATTAAGCTGACCATGAAAATCAATCTATAATAGGGGTTTGCATAGATATTACATGTCCGAATTTAAGCCCCTATTGTAATTTTTGTTTGCCTCTCCATGCCAAACATCTTCATATGTTAACCCCTTTGGATCTTATAAATGAATGGATTTCGGAACGAATCCTTTAGGTTCATAATGTTTACAATAGTGTACAAGATTTGAAAGTTCCTTTTGAAAATCTTCTAAATTAGTTCTCTCCTTATTGTAACTTTAATATTGATTAAATACCTAAATTAGGATTATCAGAGATTGATAAGTTAGTAAAAGATTTAGGTTCAATATAAGAATGCGAAAAAATCCTATTTAGGCAACTTAATCAATCAATTCAATAAATAAAATAGATTGTTTTTGAAATACTAAAAACAATAAAGGATCAAAGTAATATCTACAAAAATGATAATACATAAATTCCATCCAACATGGCTTAATATATAATAGAATAACCAAAAAATTTAAACAAATTAAAACCAAATATAAGCCCTATCGCATATGAAATCATGAATAAGCATTCTATTAAATAAAAAGAATTTTGTTTCGCAATTGCTTTAAATAAAGATCGCTCAATTTTAGCAGCTGGATGTGACAAATCAATAAAAATATATAAATTCAGCCAAGGAATGTTTAAATAGATACAACTCTTAAATCAACATTAAGAGTAAGTGAGCACTCTAAATTTCATGAAAAAAACTAATTAACTTATATCTGGAGATTGTATTGGAACTATTTTGATTTGGCCCAGCAATAATAATAATGAATGGATTTGCTCATAAACACTTCAACACAATGGTTAAATAAATTGTTTAATTATAAATAATAATGAAGATATTATTATATCAAGTAGTAATGATAAGACTATTAAGTTTTGGACGAAATAAAATGAATGGATCTGTTAATAAACAATAAGAGATTATTAAAGTTGTGTTTATTAATTAAGTTTAAATGAAAAATAAAATAAAGTTATTTCATATGGATATGATAAATTAATCTTAGTAATTGAAAATTCACAATAGTATAAATAGTGGATGGTAATATAAAAAATTCAAGTTGATTGTTTTGGAATCAGACTATGTTTTATCAACGATAATCTTTTCACATTTCAACCTTATAAAGGCAATTAGATGTATATCTATGAGATGAATACTGTATGTAAATAGTTCGCTCAAACATAACATGTTACTGTAAATGAAGGTGAAGAGGGTTACGCATTATTCTCGTAATAATATATTAAATCAAAATAGTTACTTGTTAGCAAGCATGATAAGTATATCAATTTCATAAAAATGACAGATGACAATCATTTTAAAGTTGAGTAAACTATTCAATTTGGTAGTAATATGTTATTTGGGTACATGAGTGATGATGGAGAGTATTTGATAATTTGGAATAATTTATCTAAAGAAATATCAATTAGGAAGTCTATACTAGAATGAGATATCAAAATATAAATACAATTTTTCATCATAATGTTAATTATAATTTTTTCATTGAAGGTTTTGTGGAAAACTAAGTTATAAATCAAAATAATTCTTAAAAGATTATAACCAATTATCATTTGATTGAAATATTAAAGAATAAGGAAAATTACACAACTGAATAAATCTCTTTAAATAAAATCAACTAGAATATTCAATTTAACCTTATTTACAATAATTGTTGTAATTTTTATTCCAAATCATAAGGAGTGATGAACCTTAACCTTTTTTCCAGCAATAAAATAAATAGGTTTTTGTTGTTCTAATAAGATTAGCCAATAGTTAAAATTATTAATTTTATTATACAAAAATGTAGTATTGTAACCTATTAACTTAAGATTTAAATACTTAATAAATAAAATTACTATAATCTGAATTATTGTAGCCGTAATATTTCAGACATAATTTAATATTCTTGTTCTATCATAAATTAATACTAAGAAATTCTGGATGGTAATTTAAAAAAAAAACTCAGCTATAATCAATTACTCAAAATTATCACGGTTTTATACAAAGCAATGATCATGTGATAAATGAATAACTTAATTGAATTTTCTAAATAAATAATAATTACTCTATACAAATCTTCAAAACAATAATTGTAGTTAATTATATGATTTTACTATTAAATGTTATTGAAATTGCAAATGTTAATTTACTTTCAACATTCTGAACAATATAAGGAGTGTAAGATCAAGGATCATTGTGTTAAAATAAAAAAATATAACAATCTGCAACAAATAAAAGGATGATTATAAATTATAACTAATAATTAGTAAAAAGTATTTGAATATATAATAATTAATATTACATGAACAAGTTATAATTTCGTACTCTTTATGGTTCAGCATTTCCTTGCTTCCTTAGAACATTTCTTTTTTTGATACACCCAGCATGACATCAACTTTCTAAACATAAGATCCTCTTCCAATTCTCCCTCTTAGGTCTTTGACCTCAAATGATATATGTTTTCAAAATAGGGTCCTCTCATGTACCCTTTCCATTAATGTCCTAATCAAGCATTCTGCTGTCAGAGATTCTTCATCGTTACTTTGGTCGGATGATGTTATATGCTAATGCCGTTAGCGAGGGCAAACTCTCTTGAAACCAGAATTGTAACTTTCCATTAATTGAAGAATTCAATTTAGGTAAGTACTTATATTTAAAAACTAACCAATAATAAGTTCACTCTAATGAAGGAAATTACTTTGCTTGCTATATCGGCAGCACTAGAAACTCTTCCCCATAAATTAGTTCATATATACCAATTTTAAATGAATACTAGACAAGAACAAGAAACTGATTAATATTTCATATTTGCATAACCAGGATGGCTGTCAGAATAATTATTTTATCAGATGTAATAATGTTTCAAGCAGAGCGCAATTGTGATTTAGAATATTCTACAAAAAAAACCTTTATTATTATTATGAAATGTGGTATTTTTCGGTATGGATCACTATTTCACTTTTGCTGATCATTTTCATCTAATCAAATAGACAACTTTATGCTTTCCTTTCAGTTTGCTCTTTCAACACAGTTTTCAATTCTCTCATTTTTCTCCATCAGATTTCCAGGGAAACCAACAGGATAGTCTCTGATGATGAGCATTCATTCTTTTGTTGTTTGTCTTACATATTTTCCATCCATATGAGTATATTTTTAAGTACTTTATCATTTTAAATGGTTAGCTATAAAACAGAAGTTGGTGTTAAGCCGTATTTTCTATCTCCATCAAGGTTTCTCCTCAAGAACCATCTATCCATTATCTTCTATCTTTGTCCTTTCAAATATCCTCCTTCCAATGTATCTAGGAATCCTTTATCTTTGAAATTATTGACTTTAAATAATATTCACTGAGCCAAATTTTCTTCTGAAACGAATTCTTTTTCAAAATTCCCATCCCATAATTGTACTTTTGCATTAGTTCCATATTGCCACTCCAGTAAAACTGAGAAGGAAATATATTCTCCATAAATTTGTCAAGAATCTAAATGGAAGGATTTCTCAGAGATGCAATTTATCTAGCATTCTGAACCACTGAACTCATAATTACTTTTAACTAGTTTTGAATGTTCCCTCTAATGTTAATCCTGACTCCCAAATATCTCAAAAGGTTATAACCACATCTTTTGCATAGCCCAGTAGATCCAATTATTCTAATCATTGTCTCTCTTCTTTACCTTTTTAAGCATTCGTTATGTTTTTGTTTGATCCTTTATTTCACAGTTTGGATGGATTCTTCAAAGTATAATATCAAATATCAAGAGTTCAAAAAAGAACCTTAGTGCAGCTATTTTATAAATGAATATCTCTTTTCTCAATTGGTCATAATTGTCAAATGTCATAAAATGCAAAGAACCAGTTCAACCATTTCTCACATTATCTATTTTTCATAATCTCCTCTAGTTTCATTTTATCAACAGAATTATAGTCATTTAATATGTCAAAGAAAATTACACTTTTATCTGTTTATTGGGTTTTTAGTTTTTTCAAGATTTTTTCTATTAGAACTTAAGTTCCAATCTAGTATAAGAAGCCAACTTGCTTTTTGGTAAATCTCATTAATCGCTGACTCCTTCAGCCAATTCGCCAAAGTCCATTCTATAAATTTTACTAGACGACTTTACATCATTATTGGTCTAAGGTCCCCTATTTTGGCAACGGTGCTTTCTTGTTATGTGTTATAATCATCCTATATATTAAATATTAATTTAGTCTATTAAATTCCTCCAGATCAAAAGGTAACTTGTATTTTTTCTATCAATTCCATTCCCTTTCTTCTATGAGTCTTATTATTGCCAGGTGGCAAAAGTCGAACGATATAGATGTATTTAACCTCTCTACTTTTTGTCAACATTCTTGATTATCCCTTCAATTCTCAGTGTTGGCACATCTTTTCTCTTATAGATTTATTCGCCTTCTTCATTCATTTTTGTAACAATCCAAGGTTTATTTTCAAACTTTTCTAGCTTTAGTTCTCCTTTAAATCTCAACTACTCTATGAATGCATTATGGATTATTTCCATGTAATTGCTTTCTATATATTTAAAGAATTCTTCATCTCATTCTACGTATCTTCGAGTCCTAAACTCAGCTTTCCTTTACTGTTATTCCTTCTAAAATCTTCTAATAACTCTTTCAATATTTTTCTTCCCAAACTTTATTCTTTTTTTTTTCTGTTTATCCTTTTGCAATATCTATAGCTTATCCATTGAATATATTTTTACTGATTCTCTTTATTTCAGACATATTGTTGTTTGAGAAGGCTTGTGATCTGATACTAAGGTTGTATTTTGACCTTTTTGTAATTCTGTCCTCTGATGATTTCAGATACTATTATGTATAAAATATTCTAGCCCAAAACTTGTGATTTGTCTGTTATGGTATCAAAAACTGTGAGGGGATTTCGGAGCTTCTTATTTAGGTCCGCCCCAATATTACATAAGTTGTATTTTTAATTTTTCTAACAGTTAGAGATATTCTTATTTGCACTCAAATTTATGAATATCCCCTTCAGAAATTATTGGTTCTAAATTTTGATTCCCATTACAGAGGATATTTTGAATTCCATCCTTCTCTAACTCCTTTTCTTCCCTTACAAAGCCATCTATATCCCATTCCAAAACTTCCACCCTTATTTCAAGACTCCCATACATATGAGTTTGTAAACAGCCTTCTATTTACGTAAGTTCCAGCTACAAGTTAACAATCCAACATATCCTTCTGAGATACTAGCCTTGGGAGGGTTTTTCAAGCACATCTATATTTGAAATATTGAGCCTTCCTCGGTTAGCCCTAATTTTCGATCTCTCAGATCATTGTCATCTCTGTCCCTATGCTCTCGTAACCAATACCATCTAACCAGAGTTCATTGCAGAGTCCTAAAGCCAGGATTGAAGTTTAATGGTAAGTTATTTAAAACTAAGTAAGAAAATTGAAAATCGAAAAATTACTCAAGTTTTTGGCCACTTTTGAAAGCGCACAGATTTCTAAAACGAATAAGAAAAAATTAAAAAATTTGACTATGAACAAAGAAATAAAATGGAGTAATTAAAACGATTAGGATAAAAAAATTGTATAATTGCTGCTATGCTGGAAGTATCAACTCAAAAATCAGAACAAATATTATGATAAATTAACGAATTGCTACTAGCTAATAATCATTCTTGACAGAAAATGAAAAGAACTAGATTAAATAAAAAAAGTCAAATTCTACATTATTCAACTTCTTCTCCTCTAAATTCATTCTAAAAGTTATATCCTCACAATTCCCTTCAAAAAATCTTGCATGAATATAAAATTAGAGATAAAATCCATAATTGAAGCTTTTACAATTTTTTTAAAAAAAATGATAAAGGAAGAATTTAAATATTTTATCTCAATGTTTTGCGGGTACTAATAAAGTTCATATGTCTAGATGAGTGTTAAATTGAGAATATTTCANTTTGTCAACATTCTTGATTATCCCTTCAATTCTCAGTGTTGGCACATCTTTTCTCTTATAGATTTATTCGCCTTCTTCATTCATTTTTGTAACAATCCAAGGTTTATTTTCAAACTTTTCTAGCTTTAGTTCTCCTTTAAATCTCAACTACTCTATGAATGCATTATGGATTATTTCCATGTAATTGCTTTCTATATATTTAAAGAATTCTTCATCTCATTCTACGTATCTTCGAGTCCTAAACTCAGCTTTCCTTTACTGTTATTCCTTCTAAAATCTTCTAATAACTCTTTCAATATTTTTCTTCCCAAACTTTATTCTTTTTTTTTTCTGTTTATCCTTTTGCAATATCTATAGCTTATCCATTGAATATATTTTTACTGATTCTCTTTATTTCAGACATATTGTTGTTTGAGAAGGCTTGTGATCTGATACTAAGGTTGTATTTTGACCTTTTTGTAATTCTGTCCTCTGATGATTTCAGATACTATTATGTATAAAATATTCTAGCCCAAAACTTGTGATTTGTCTGTTATGGTATCAAAAACTGTGAGGGGATTTCGGAGCTTCTTATTTAAGTCCGCCCCAATGTTACATAAGTTGTATTTTTAATTTTTCTAACAGTTAGAGATATTCTTATTTGCTCTCGAATTTATGAGAATATTTCAAATTTACCTTAAGTAATGGCTTATATAAGGATCTTTTAAGAAGTCCTTTCAATGAATCTCATATTTGTAAAAATGTAATTGGAACTTTAGGATAAAGCAGCTTCTTTTATTTTCTTAACTTTTTGGAGGGGACAGGTAAAGGATAAATTTTTTTTTATTATTTTTCACATCGTAAAACGTAAAGGAAAAGAATATTACAATTCTAATTTATTTGTATATGTGAAGGATAGTCATGCTGTGCATAAATCAGGGTAAAGGAGATAAATCTTTACTCAAGTTCCCTGTTTATTCCCTCTTGCTTATAGACCAGAATTTAATGCAATGAGTATATGTTTGGCCGGTTAAGAAAATTAGTAGTTTTACAACCTTGCATTACTTCTCATTAAATTAATTACACCTAATTATCAGCCAGATTGATGATCATCTAATTGAAAAATAGTGTGACTGCCTACATAAACCGCTGTCTTTATGAAATCCATTACATAGAATGAATAAGAAAAATATATCTAAAATAAAGTATTGATTTTATACATCAATTAATTTCATTAAATTCAAATATTTTTTCGGTATGAAATAAATGCCTCCTCTCAACCTATTTAGAGTTAAGAAAAAACTAACATTAGTAAGTTAGAGTAATTTAAGAAATCTTTAAAATTGAACTAATTGTATCACCCGCAATCAACTAATGACTAAAAGCAAAATCAATAAGTTTTTTTTCTTTAATGCTCAAGTCAAACTTTGGAGGATTATTTCAAAGTCTTAGATTAAAATTTATACAAGTTAAATTCATAAGTCATTAAAAAAAAAAGAAAGAGAAAATAAATTATTGATAGATAAAATAACAATATGATACTAAATAGAAATAATGCAATCTAAAATTTAAGAAGGTTGTTAAACCCACCTTCTACTTAGTTTAAGAGATTATAACATAAGGTTATTTTTTTAACTAGCTGATTCATTATT